TCTAATGATGAATATAATTAAGTCAGGGTTCGTGTGGGTAAGTGCGAGCCTCAGTGGGTTTGTTTGTTTCAACCATACTGCGTTATCCTTGGCACTGTGTGTGCATACAGTCCTCCACACCTCATTCATGTGCGCAGATGGAACGTCAATGTTGAGTTCCATCTCATGCATATTGCAGTTTTCTGAGGCCCGTTGCGCTGTAAAACAAAATTCTCGCCTATTTACAGTCTGTCAAATAATGCTTTATGATGCTCTTGAAATAATGAGGCTACAAATATTCTTCTTTTTGACAGACGATCCATAACGTGACAGTGCCACAGTGGACCAATGTAGAAATCTGCATGCAATGCTTGAGGAGGGCTTTTATTTTTGTCTTCATGTGTTAAAGACCCCATTTGAAGTTGTATGGCTTTCCATGTCTGTAGTTTAGTATTCTTAAAAACTGACAAAATTATCAAATAAGCAAATATAAACTTTTAGTCCTGAAACAATCTCAACACTGCTGCAAAAGACGCTGCAGTGATTGATGGAATTTTCCATGTTTTCACTGTTTTATATGGTAGGAGGCACTATTACACATCTGCTCAAAGAGTACTGAATCTCTGGATCTAAACACAATGAAGAAGAAGCAGAAACAAGAGATTGCAAAGTGACTTGTGACTCACAAGTCAGTCAGAGATCTCATGGTATGCACAGCATACGGCCATGCAGCTGCAGGCATCACTAATCATATCAATATTCATAATTATGTAAATGTTTTAAATAGGAGACATCAATATGCAAGATATACAGTCCTGGTCAGAAAGATAGTTGGAGGTTATTTTTTTGATTCAGGTTTAAGAGGGACAGAGACAGACACACACAGTATTAAATAAAGTCAACATGAAACAGATTTCACAACCCGTTTTTGTGTTTGAAAACAATATGGACCTATTTTATAGAAGATGCATTAAAAGGCATTTTTAGAAAGAGAGATATTAACATTGACTCGTGTTGTGTTGAGAGAGTCTTTACAAGTGTGTCTTCCAAAGCATAGCGCAACTTACAACTGTGATTAATAATGTGACTTATGCTGAAATATGATTTAAGCAAATGCAGTGACAACAAAATAAAATATGTGCCACCAGAAAACAGCCAGCATGTTCTGTGTGTGCAACAATGACTCTGTTTTATTCTGCAGAGCTGCTACAGCTGAAATTTAAGTCGGTTCATAATTGATAAACTTTGCAACTCTGACACTGTAATTTTCCTGTTTATTACCGCGAAGCTGCTATGAAACTATCTCTATTGTATAAAGAGCTGTATAAATAAATGCGACTTGAATGTGAGTAGCTTTCCCAAAACTGGCATACGCACACACACACACACACACACACATATATATATATATGTGTGCATTTAATGTATATGTATATAAATACATTTTGCTGATGAGCCTTTAAACTCTCAATTGTAGGAGAGTGGTCCTCAAAGGTCCAGTTTATGGATCTGGAACATCAATTTTTTTTTCTTAGAAAAACTGTACACCAACGAATCATGCATAATAAGAGCAGAAAGTTAAGTTAAGTTAAGTTAAGAGAGTAAAAGTATGGGGTCAATTCTGATTCAGGGTTGACTTCAAAAGACAGAGAAGGAAAAAGTAAAGATATTTGCTTTTTACTCATTGACTCCTTTATATTTTCTAAGATGCACGTAAGGATTCACTTGCATTTACATTTGCATCTTTCACTTACATATTACTGTACTGACAGCAGATTCTAATCGCAGGCAAAACCTAACCTCAAAGACACTGCGTGCAGCGTATTTCACCAGTTTCATCATAGATAGTCTTGATAGCCTTTTCTACTCTAAGGCATCCAGGAGTGCAGGCTGAGGACAGGCACGCAGAAAGAACAGGAGAGCTCAAGTGCATCGCTCTAAGTGACTGGATTGGCGGGTTCATCTTCTTCCCTGACCACAGGAAGTTGTCCACTATCATGAGCCTGTACCTGCTCAGAGACTGTCTGCAGAGCTGACGCTTCCGCAAGAGCTGAGTAAACACACAAGAGATGTGAAAAGAGGGAAGAGAATACAGATAAGCCGAGGGAAAGATCAATAGCACTGGAAAAAAGACAGATGACATTAGACACATCAGCTGAAAGAAAAGATTTGAAATGAAATGCAGGAAAATATAGAAGAAATGTGTAAAAGGAAAAATGACAATTCAGTGGCGATGCATGGCTTTTCTAGATTTCGGTCAGGATGGAAATCTGCACAAATCTGCATGCATAAGGAAGAAAAACAGTGCAGGACTTCTGAATAAAGAGTTGTTTAGCCAGTGATCCAATGCCATGCTTAGTAATATAATTAAGTCAGGGTTCGTGTTGGTAAGTGCGAGCCTCAGTGGGTTTGTTTGTTTCAACCATACTGCGTTATCCTTGGCACTGTGTGTGCGTACAGTCCTCCACACCTCATTCATGTGCGCAGATGGAACGTCAATGTTGAGTTCCATCTCATGCATATTGCAGTTTTCTGAGGCCCGTTGCGCTGTAAAACAAAATTCTCGCCTATTTACAGTCTGTCATAGAATGCTTTATCAACCATGCTCCTCTTGAAATAATGAGGCTACAAATATTCTTCTTTTTGACAGACAATCCATAATGTGACAGTGCCACAGTGGACCAATGTAGAAATTTGCATGCAATGCTTGAGGAGGGCTTTTATTTTTATCTTCATGTGTTAAAGACCCCATTTGAAGTTGTATGGCTTTCCATGTCTGTAGTTTAGTATTCTTAAAAACTGACAAAATTATCAAATAAGCAAATATAAACTTTTAGTCCTGAAACAATCTCAACACTGCTGCAAAAGACGCTGCAGTGATTGATGGAATTTTCCATGTTTTCACTGTTTTATATGGTAGGAGGCGCTATTACACATCTGCTCAAAGAGTACTGAATCTCTGGATCTAAACACAATGAAGAAGAAGCAGAAACAAGAGATTGCAAAGTGACTTGTGACTCACAAGTCAGTCAGAGATCTCATGGTATGCACAGCATACGGCCATGCAGCTGCAGGCATCACTAATCATATCAATATTCATAATTATGTAAATGTTTTAAATAGGAGACATCAATATGCAAGATATACAGTCCTGGTCAGAAAGATAGTTGGAGGTTATTTTTTTGATTCAGGTTTAAGAGGGACAGAGACAGACACACACAGTATTAAATAAAGTCAACATGAAACAGATTTCACAACCCGTTTTTGTGTTTGAAAACAATATGGACCTATTTTATAGAAGATGCATTAAAAGGCATTTTTAGAAAGAGAGATATTAACATTGACTCGTGTTGTGTTGAGAGAGTCTTTACAAGTGTGTCTTCCAAAGCATAGCGCAACTTACAACTGTGATTAATAATGTGACTTATGCTGAAATATGATTTAAGCAAATGCAGTGACAACAAAATAAAATATGTGCCACCAGAAAACAGCCAGCATGTTCTGTGTGTGCAACAATGACTCTGTTTTATTCTGCAGAGCTGCTACAGCTGAAATTTAAGTCGGTTCATAATTGATAAACTTTGCAACTCTGACACTGTCATTTTCCTGTTTATTACCGCGAAGCTGCTATGAAACTATCTCTATTGTATAAAGAGCTGTATAAATAAATGCGACTTGAATGTGAGTAGCTTTCCCAAAACTGGCATACGCACACACACACACACACACACACATATATATATATATGTGTGCATTTAATGTATATGTATATAAATACATTTTGCTGATGAGCCTTTAAACTCTCAATTGTAGGAGAGTGGTCCTCAAAGGTCCAGTTTATGGATCTGGAACATCAATTTTTTTTTCTTAGAAAAACTGTACACCAACGAATCATGCATAATAAGAGCAGAAAGTTAAGTTAAGTTAAGTTAAGAGAGTAAAAGTATGGGGTCAATTCTGATTCAGGGTTGACTTCAAAAGACAGAGAAGGAAAAAGTAAAGATATTTGCTTTTTACTCATTGACTCCTTTATATTTTCTAAGATGCACGTAAGGATTCACTTGCATTTACATTTGCATCTTTCACTTACATATTACTGTACTGACAGCAGATTCTAATCGCAGGCAAAACCTAACCTCAAAGACACTGCGTGCAGCGTATTTCACCAGTTTCATCATAGATAGTCTTGATAGCCTTTTCTACTCTAAGGCATCCAGGAGTGCAGGCTGAGGACAGGCACGCAGAAAGAACAGGAGAGCTCAAGTGCATCGCTCTAAGTGACTGGATTGGCGGGTTCATCTTCTTCCCTGACCACAGGAAGTTGTCCACTATCATGAGCCTGTACCTGCTCAGAGACTGTCTGCAGAGCTGACGCTTCCGCAAGAGCTGAGTAAACACACAAGAGATGTGAAAAGAGGGAAGAGAATACAGATAAGCCGAGGGAAAGATCAATAGCACTGGAAAAAAGACAGATGACATTAGACACATCAGCTGAAAGAAAAGATTTGAAATGAAATGCAGGAAAATATAGAAGAAATGTGTAAAAGGAAAAATGACAATTCAGTGGCGATGCATGGCTTTTCTAGATTTCGGTCAGGATGGAAATCTGCACAAATCTGCATGCATAAGGAAGAAAAACAGTGCAGGACTTCTGAATAAAGAGTTGTTTAGCCAGTGATCCAATGCCATGCTTAGTGTGACAACTGGTGGTGGTTGAGGAGAGACCCCCCCACATGATTGTAAAGCGCTTTGGGTGTACAACAATACACACAATTTCCCCAATATTCATATGTCTGCATAGGTTGATAAACTATTCACAGCAGTGTATGTATGTATTCATTCATTTACTTAATAAAACAAATAGTTTAATGTAAGTAATACTGGGAATGTTACACAATGGGATAATGCAAATGAAACAGACCAAAATAACAGACAAAAACAAAGATGATGGTCACAAATCAGACAATAACAGTGTCAGATTTCTATAATCTTAAAGAGCAAATAGCCTGTGTGGCACTTACCTCCCGGCATATCTGTGAGCTCGTTGAGGGGGGGCACCGTCTCCAGTGTGTTGGCATAGGTTTTTGCAGCTTGTCTTTGTACATTCCGAGCCTCTATCTCTTTTTTTGTTCGTGGAATTCGGCATTTGAAGATGCAGCACAGTGTTATTACTGTGAAATGAGGAAGAAAGCTTTGAAATATTTGAAAGCGTTTTCCTTCACAACAGGCAGCATATCATATCTCTTTGTTATGTAATTGATATTTTCCTCTTGGGAATTTCATTAAATCGCTTAATGTGATTCACTACGTGTAAAATATATATATATATATATATATATATCTATAATATATATATATAAAGAGGTCACCCACAAATTAAAATTCTGTCATCATTTAGTCACCCTCATGTCAATAATAATGATACTTAAAAATAACATAAAGCCTATTTCTTCTGTAGAACACAAAAGGAGGTTTTTTTTGTTTTTCTAAATATACATTGGCTGCTCTTTCCCATGCAGTTAACAGTGAATGGAGACTGGAGTTTTTGAGCTTCAAAAACGGCACTGCATAGGTTTCATTAAAGTTTTATAACAAAGTCTATAAAATCGTGTGCTATATTCCAAGTCTTCTGAAGATAAAGTGCTCTTTGTCACTTTGGAGCTTGACAGCCACAGTGCTCACATTCATTATATTGAAAAGAGTGGCTAAAATATACCTTTTGTGTTCCAAGCACGAGACAAAGAATGTCATATGGGAACAATATAGTGAACAAATAGTTATAGTAAATGATGGATTTTTTTAGACACTTACTAATTGCTAGGATGAACATGGAGAAAATGCCTACAACCTGCCATAATCGAAGGCCCCAAAACACCACTGATTCTGAAGTGACTGGATCTGGCTTTTTTGGAGGGTCTGTTGGCAGAAGCTGCAGGGATAAAAGAAAAAAAATCGTAATATCCAGGTAATTGCACCACTGAAAGGGCAGCAGTAGCAGTGATTAAGAACCGCAGTACGATTTTAAACTACTACTTTCACATGGTGATCACAATGGAAAGAAGAGAGGCAGGCTGTAAACTGCTTGCAGTGAATTTCTAGACAAAAGTGTTTTCATACATTAAACATGCATTTATAGCATTTGAAATGTTTTATTGATCGATTTAGTGTGTCCTGTGATCATTATCAATATCAGATCCTTTCAAAAACACAAAACTTTTGAATAGTTAACTCCAGCTTTGACAGTTTCAAGAGGCCAGGCACCATGTGTGACAGTAGCTTTAATGTGAAAATGTGTTGCTTTCGTTTAAATAATTCAGTATATATGTCATACAGTACGAATCATTGGTGGTCAGTGTTGACATGCTGACGTGTTGTCCAAGTTCCTCCACACAGATTATCACTCCATATCTCATTTGAAATCTGCACTCCTGAACTATTATACCTGCAGACTTCACTTGTCCCCAGTCCCCAGGCCTGAAGGTCCTATACTGATAATAAATCTATGAGGTCCTTGTTGATACAAAGCAGTGTTCATGGGAACTGTACTGTCCACATAAAAATGTATGTGGTCGGTCATGCAATGACTATGTCTGTCTTCACAAAGTGACTCAAAATATATCTTCCAGTCTGTCACCTCAAGACATTTTGGAGACCAGATTTGACTAGTTCTGGTGGTGACAAGCAGAATGATGGTCAGTGCTGGATGATGGTCTGATATGTTGAGATGTCATGTACCAACATGACTGTAGTTTAATCTGCCAAGGAGTGACATGCCCCTTTGACACATCCATATAACGAGTACTGTATAGTGCACACACAAACAGATTTAAATTTGTGAAGGTTGAGAGTAAACATGAATATATAATGATACACATGGTGAAGGTTCTGACAACTGTTTTAACACCAGTGTCTGCACAGGGCAAAGTGCACACAAACCTATAGAGTGAACTAGTGCGACACCACGTACACTCTAAAAAATGCTGGGTTGTTTCAACCCAACTTTGGGTAAAATATGGACTAACCCAACTTTTGGGTCAAAATTGCATTTAAAAATTTAAACCAACAGCTGGGTTAGTCCATATTTGACCCAAAGTTGGGTTGAAACAACCCAGCATTTTTTAGAGTGTAGGTTAATAATTTTTTCTATAAATTTTATCCCATAGGGATTAAAAAAAAAAGTATTTGTTAAAGCAATATAACCAGCTACGAGGAGAATCACAACATTGCTCTCTGATTGGTTGAATTTTCTGTACAGCATCATAGGTTATGTAGTTTTTCACCAGGTATTCTGCTGTTAAACAATTATTTAAAGCATAATTGTTTAAAACGAAAGCATATACCATCTATTAAAAGTAGGTCTGCATTTAAAGGTTTATCATAAAAAATCAATACATTTTCAAGAAAATGAATGGCATTTTTACTTCTGGAACCTGACTGCTGTGCTCTATTGTCTTCTGGTTTGTTACTTACTGAACGAAATCAATAGAGCCCACCCAAGTCTCTAAGAATCTGATCACTCAAAAAAGTAACAGCACATTTCTCCTCAACAAGCAGCACAATCTTATAAGTAAATGTAAAAGATGCACAATAAATTTTAAAATGTAGTCTAAAGGGTTTGTTTGACTCTCCAACACTAAACCAAAATAAATAGTGATGATCGCCTTAGCAAAAAGCACTAATAATTAGAATTGACTTATACCATTAGTATTTAGAATTGACTGATTAGCATGATATTTTTGCTAGATAAAGGGTAACATTTCCATCAGCGAGGCTGGAGATAGCACATGTCCCTTCAGCTAAAAGTAAATTACTATTGATGTTTCAGTCTTATTCAATAAACCCTGAGAGTGGTCACCTGCTATGGTACATCGACAGACAGTGTGCTGAATGCTCATTCAGACATTCATAGCATGCCACCTGTGTTTCTCCAGTTTACTGCACAAGCAACCTAACAATATACATGCAGAAATTCTTGTTGGATTCAAAGTAAATATACAAAGAATAAGCCTCGGAGCATATGTCTGATTGATAGAACAATATCTCAACCAGAGAATGAGGGGAAATCCTTTTTATTTCACTCAATGTGTAATATCAGCAGAGCGCAGTGCCTCAGGGATTTGTACTGAGCCCATTCCTGCTGTGCATAAATATCATTGAAAACTAAAAGAAATGCCTACTACTCCCTCTATGATTAACCAAGTCCTGTCTGTTCTTCATAGCTGCATGCTACATTGACATCAGTCAGACAGTTTGTGACTCAGTAATCCTTATTTTCATTCGGTATTTTCAGCTGAAACCAAATAGCAGAGTTTCAGTCAAAGACAAACATCTAAAAGGTATTCTACAATAACATATTCTATAAATGTTAATTATATATAAATGTAAACTATATATACATATATTACTGTGCAAAATCTAGGAACATTAGATGCATTACAAACATATTTGTTTGGGGCTTTGTGTTCTAGTAAGAATATATTTATTTAGATTTTGATACATTACTTCTACAAATATTGTAATAATCCAGTAATATTTTTCCATGAACAATGAGTCTTACATTAAATGGTATGGTAATCCATAATCCATAGAACAAACTGTGGTAACGTTTCCAAGATGCATAGAACAACCTCGACAACCTGACTGTTCAAGTATCGAGGAGAAGTCTCTTTAACACAGTCTCTTGCACAGTATACTGTATATGCATGTATTTTAAGTGAAGGGATGACACAATAGTAATAGACTATAAATTCACATTAAATGTTGTTGGTCAGTTATTACATATGTTGGGATGTATAGTAAAGATTTGCATGAAATCTCATTTAATTTAAATCAAAATCCTGGAATTATTCAAGAATAACTCCATTAATTATGATTATTAAATTACCACAACAACATGCTACTGCCTTCTGCCCAACTGCCCCAATTAACATTTCAAACAAATAAATAAATATCATGTCCTCCAAATCTACATGTTTTTTTGGCCTTATATACAATAAACTATAATCTGTTTAATATGATTTATTTCATATGATGTTGTTCAAACGTCAGACTAAAGCTATTCAATAAATGGTTTTGATTTTGATTTAAATTGTTTACATCTGTGTTAACGAGAAGTAACATTGTGGTATCTTAGCCTATTATGTATTTAGTTATTTATTTTAGTTAAATTTTGGGGCATTTTTGACATCTATTCTGATAGAACTTTAGAAGAAATTACACATTTGCATCGCTATTTGTGAAGTGAAAAAAGCCACCAAAAATGTTTGTGAACAAACAAATATCTTTATAACCCTTCTGTTTTCAGTTTTTGAGTGAAAAATTTGTATTTGAAAACTTTTTTTTTTTTAATATCAGCATTAAGGCAGATAAAGCATGACCTGTTAGATATAAAGATTTATTGGGTCATTCAGTGTTCCTGAACTACAATCAATCATGAGATGCAATCGCTATTGTGTGTAGTACAGACTGTTTGAAGAGTTCAGCTGGCAGTAGATCACTTATTGATATTTTTCTTTGTAATGCACTTCATCATGTCCCTTCTCTTCTGTCCTCCAAAGAAACAAAATTGACTTTTATGTAATGTACCATCTTTAACAACTCTATGAACAAACAGCAACCAAAGACATCAGAACTTTTTGAATTTCTCATTGGGATGAATAAAGTATCCATCAAATACTTATATAGTGTATTGCATAGCATGAAGACAATAAAAACAGAGAATTCATAGTTATTTTCTCAAGTTTAGAGCTTGTTCTTCCAGCATGACCTAACATGACACAACTTACAATACACAGACTCCCTGCAGCTAAAAACAAATCAGTATGATCATGGTGTTTTATATGGGTGTCTATAAATATGAACGAATGTCATCCTGTTTTCCAATTCAACTCTATTGCCTACTGAGTCCACTGGAGCACAAAATGTACCCGAACCATATTTGTGTTCCTAAAGCTGCTCATGTTGGAGTTAAACACTGTACCAGCAGAGAAAATTGGAGGCACCTGGATAATTGACCCTTTAATGAGTGTTTAATTAGCAGTGGGTGTAGAGAAACAGTACATCTCACACCTGCTGTCAAAGTCAACTAGGAAGAAACCTGTAATATTATCAGTTATGAATGTAAAAGTCTCCTAAGCGCTTGCCAGCATCTTCAAGACATGTCTGAGAACAACCAGTATTGTATTTGCATGACTGTATTGGCATTCAGAAAGCATGCCTTGTGGTTCATCTGCACTGTTTTCTATTTGTTGGTCTATACATACTTGTTTAGACATTGTCTCACACCAAAAGTGCCATTTTAATGGGCCTTGTCAAGGTACTGTAAAAGTAGTTCAACAGTTTATTCGCTTCAACCATTTAACAGTCCATTAAAAATCCTATTTTGGTAGCACTTTATTTTGATAGATCACTTTAGACATTCTACGCAGTATGACTACAGTAAAAGTGCAGAAAAGAATGGCAAATCGACAGTCATACAGTTATACATTTAAATGAAGTTGCTTTTTAACTTGTTCTCTAAATTTAATCCGTTATTCAAAGAACATTGTTGAATAAACATTGAATAATTTACATTTAAGGCCAAATTTGACCAGTTATTTCATTTATTTTTTCTTTCGCCAATGAAAATACTCCCACTACGGCCAAAGCCTCAGGAGTGCCGCCAAGAAACACACAAACTGAAAGCTTAAAATATACACTAGAAGTCAGGAACAAACTATGTATTGTAGCATTTTCAATCACTCAACTCGAGAGCCATTCCTACTTTTCCAGTTCACGCTCACCAGTCACCTCTTTACTTCAATTAGTTTCTTCTATTTTCCAGAGATACACCTGTCACGAGTGCCACGAACACAGAGAGGTGAAGTGCTGTCAGCATGCTCTCTTTTACAACCGCATTCCCAACCCAGAACAGAGGGATTACTGATTATGAACAATTATCAACCCAAACTGGGTCATTTTAGCCCAGCTTCCTCACCCAGATGCGCTTACAATGCATATTTTTAAATAAATGTAACAATGTTGGCCATTTAAAATCTAACAGTGACAATGTCAACTGACCTTTTTGATCTCATTTGTAAATGATGATCGTTTTGTAAAACACGAATGATGACCCTTATCTTTCCTAAGTGAAAATGTTGCCATTTCTGTAAATGTTTCCTGCTAACATTGGTTCCAAAGACGATCATTTCTCATGGCAACAGCAGCACTGCTAGATGTGATGAACAGGATGTCCTTAAGCAGTCAATGAAATTTAAACAGTCATTCATTGTTAAATCATAGATGATCGATTTAAGCAATGACAGCTGCTGGATGGTGCAAATCTTCCTCCATGCGACTGACAATATCACATTATCAGGGAACAATGCAAACAAGTTCACATTGCAAGGCCAGTGCTGTACTAAGCATTTGGAATGTCTCCCCAATTTATAGCACATAATAGAGACGCCGACCACCAAAAAACAAGTAGCATGTGGAACTATGAATTTAAATATAAACCTTGAATGAGGTCACATGTGAGAGTGCAAAATCGTTTTAATTTTCTGAGGTCAGCCGAACTAGATTTCCCATTTTCAAGAAAATGTAAGTGGATCTCGCCCATGCAGATCTCACTGTCACAATGCTAGGTATTCTACGTGGCTTCTAGCAAGATCTGGGTTGCTGTTGCATGTAGGTTGTTACTGGCTGGCTAAAGTCAATATAAAATATTCTGGTCCCTAGAAAGGCTTTAGTTCTTTCTTCAGTGACAGTCTAGTTTAATTCGTTGTTTGTTGTTTCATTTTCTATGTTTTCAGGCAAAGTATTGTCTTTTTGTCTGACAGACAAGAGTCCTTGCATTACTGTACTTTCTGCAAATAGCTTTTTAATAGCCATATGACTGTTTCTGAAACACCATTAGCACTAACTTTAAAGTGTAGTTAGAAAAATCTATTGCTGGACTAGATGTGTTTTTAACGCTGCCGTTGTGTCAATGCATTCAGTGCCATAAAATTAAAAGCGGTTCACGCTAGCCTGTTCAATACAAAGAGAGTCGCAACAACAGTGCAGTTTAGGGGCCATAAAATCTATCCAGGTCTTACCTCGGGGTCTGGTATCTGGGCAGCAGCGTTGAAGATGTGGTGTGAGATCAACACAGCCGTTACACTCATCAGCAATGGGACGAGGGTTGGCGGTTGATGCCTAGGCCCCTCCATCGCCATTTTCCCTCTTCTTCTCCCGCGTCTCATCCCTCCCCCTGCTGCTTCTTTCTGCCCGGAAAACTGCGCAGGACCACAATAGTGCAGGTGATTGATAGACGTTCAGTGCGAAACGGCCACCACCTCCCCTACATGAATGTTGCTCTGGTCTCTTGCTGTCCTAACGCTTCCAAACAGAGAAACTGCGCTCTCCGCCGCAGAGCCCGAACCAGAAAGCCAGCCACTCGGCTAAAGGCCATTAATTAATTAATAGCCCCGGTGTCATTTACAGCCCTGCCGCCCGGTGCACGGAGAGGTTACAAGAGTCGTGGGGGGAAGGGAGTTACACGGAAAGACACAAGTGGATCAGAGGAATTGTGTAACCCTCTGAAGACACTTTGTATTTTGATCACACACTCATGTTGATGTGTGATGCCTGCTATGCGATCTGCATATCTGCTGCAACAGGTTTTCCAGTAATTCACAGTTGTTCAGCGGTCCACTGAAATAAGGACAATTTACTCAAAGCAAATGTTTACGGAAAAAAATGTTTTGCTTTTTCCAACATAAGCTCATTGGAAAAACATGCCTCTATATTTTTGCAAAAACAACCTACTGTATACATACAGTGCTTAACAGATTTATTAGACCACCACCATCCAATGTAAGGTTTGTGCCACAGCTGCCTTAAACTAACAGTATTGGTGATTACCAAAATCACTTTTTATGTTTCTGTAATGGTTAATCCACCAGTAAGCTCTTTAGTCACAGTGGTGTTTCTAATGCTAAAAAATAATTATCGTTGTAATCCATGAATCCTTGAATTTACTGTTTAACAAGAAAGGCAGAAAAAATAGTAAAGCGCTTTATTAATTGTTTTATTCAGATGCCCAATTACAGTCAATAACAGCAGAGACTGTGGAAAAGTACATAAACAGCAATATATATATATATATATATATATATATAACATAAATATACAATATACAAAAAGTGGCCCAAAATATATTGGTAGAAAATATATTTTGAAAATATTTTAGCAAAACATTTTTTGGCCATTTTTTTGTATGGTTTGAAATATATTTTTAAATATGTATATTTTAAAAAAATTGTTTGATATATGGGAATACTATGCTGTGACCTTAAAACACTTTTACCATAGTGCATGATTTGTAGACCATAATGCATTTTGTTGTTTGCATCACATAAATTTCTTCATAAAATGGGATTTTTATCTTACATTTACATTACATTACAGTTATGTTTAGGCTTGGGTTTAGGTTGTATTTTATTTTTAAATGCGATACAGCATTAACCTTTGACATTTTATTTCTGAGCAAGACTTGGAGCAACACAACTAAGAGCTCTATATGGTAGTCAAACATACAGCAGGTGTAACAAGAATTCACACAGAGAAGATCACAGAGATATTAAGGTGCTAAATTATGAAGAGCCTTAAAGTGCCAATTTATGTAAAATCTTGAATCTGGTCATTAACCGGAAGCCCGTGGAGCTGTCTAAGGACTGGACACGTGTGCTCAATCGATGGTGATCGTGTAATGATCTGAGCTGCTGAATTCTGGACAAAAGCTTTAGTGAAACACCACTGAGAAGAGAATTACAACAGTCAATACGAGATGTACCTAATGCATGTATAAGGACAGCTATGGAAGCCTAAAAAAATAATGGCGACTTTTTATCTCACAATTCTGACTTTTGTCTTGCAAAGCTGAGTATACAGCTCACAATTCTGACTTCTTTTCTCAGAATTGTGAGATATAATATATAAAGAGTTATAAAGTCCAATTCTGAGGAAATAAAGACTATTTTCTTACAATTCACAATTCTGACGTTGTAACTCGCAATTGCAAGCATATTCTATCATGCAATTCTGACTTAAGAACTCAAAACTGCTGTAATACTTTAGAATAGGGAACACATATTCACTACTAACTAAGCGTTTTCCCTGAACAAACTCCTAATTTGCTGCTTATTAATAGTTAGTAAGGTAGTTGTTAAGTTTAGGTATGGTGTAAGATTAAGGGATCTAAAATATAGTCATGCAGAATAAGGCATTATTACAGTATGTGCTTTATAAGTACTAATAAACAGTCAATATGCTAGTAGTATGCATGCTAATAAGCAACTAGTTAATAGTGAAATAAAGTGTTACCCATATTTTTATTCAGTGGTGGAAACGGGCTTCCATAGCAGTATTATTAGCAGCAAGAATAGTTGAAGACGATTAATATTTCACATTTGATGATACACAGACCGAGTAACTTATAACTTAAGAAGAAGGCCTTTTTTATATATATATATAAAAATATTAATAATTAGTGGTGTTTGTTAAGGCAAACACCATAATGAATGTCCATGGCATTGTAACCTGGGCTGTTTGCAACGATGCAGAACACACATAGTAACATGGTAACATTAGGTATCATAACAATAATAATAAAAAATTGTATATCATCCCACCAGATAAAAACTGGCTGTCTATTAAAATATCCCTAATCTGTTCATTCATAAGTACTGATGTGTTAGAGAATCTGCTATTCAAATCTGTTCTTTACTTTTGGATTGTCCATGCTTCTTTCAAGGGACCTGATATTTCTGGGCTGTGATCTTCTTAGACAGTGATCATGCTGCTGAGAGGATGTGGTAGGAATACATCAGCGGCTTAAAGCCTATACATCTCCACAGCTTGACTGACAACAGTTTCTCCACGCCCTTTGAGAGCTCTAAGAGAAGATAATGAATAAACACAGCCAAATGGCATGCTAATGTTAAGATCTGGGGATTACGTGATGGGTGCTAATAACCCAACCTACACCGCTGTTATGAAAAGAAGGGTGCAGGAGGGATGGAATTAGATATGAATTTCATGCCTCTTCTGAATTACTGATTGTATCTCAGTCAGATAATACATCAGAGCGTATGATTCTGCTCCACATAATGTAGCCGCTATTAGACTGGGATAAGCATATTTTCAAAATCGACTAGTCGGTCCAAACAAGCTACCAATTTTGGCTTTTTGCACATTCATTTAGCATATATATGTCTAAGACCCTCAAAGAAAGGTGTGACAACATGCCCCATAGGTGGGGCACATTGTAAGCTGACAACTTATGACATTTTCTGTTCTAATCAAAACACAAAACTAATTCAACTATTTTGTTCATAAAAGACAAGTATTAACTTTTTCGCATGAATTATTAATTTTTTAGAGTCTGAGTCCTAGGCTACAGCAAAGGTCAAAACAATGTGGGCAAACTGATGAAGAAAAATATAGCAGCCAGTAAGAAAGCTTTCTTGAAATAATAACTTCTGAACGTTCTGGCTCTCCCTCTCAGTCTTTATTCACTTGTCTCTCGTGGATTCTTGATAGAATTTATAAAAGTTATACACAGTATGTGAATTACATCACTAACTTAGCAGTGCACATTTTAATGCAGCGTTACAACATGATCCAACTGCGCGACTGGGATTTAAACCTCACTAATGTCTTCTGCTAGTTAGACAAGCTATTCAAACTGTTATAACAGATATAACAGAAATGAAAATAATAGCAGATTTCTCTTGTTTTAAATAAACGCTAAAAACTGAGATGAAAAATGATCTTAAGCAAGAAACAGTGCAGGATATTGGCCCTCCAGGAGCAGGATTGGACACTCCTTGTTTAGGGTCATGTCCACCCGGCACCAGGCCCAAAACAACTCCAAGCAAATGAAGGCAAACACTTCTTACTTTGGAAACTCAATTTGATGCATTTCAAACTGTGTCACAAGCATGTGTTGCATTCTCAGTGTTGCCACAAGGTTGGTTAACGGTGCATTTGTGTTAAACAAACAACTTCTACTTCCAACTGGAGCGGTCTTAAAAGCGTTAAATGGACGTTTTCCTTGTCTGCCGCATCATGAACCAGCAGGACAGTCACTAGTGAAGGGTTTGGGACTTCTTCTGATGCCTTCAACTAATTAACACTGTTTGGTCAAGCCCTGCATCCCACTGTGCTCACGATCCATCCTAAATAGTGTGTGAAATTAGATTAAATGTGTCCCAAGTTATAGTATGATGAACAGAATATGCCAAAAGTCCCAGTTTCTAAAGTGTGGATCTGTGCACTCTCAAACAGCTGATATTGCTAATATCTAACTACAGATTTACTAACAGTTTGCGCAGACACAAAGCCTCTTTTGGCGTTCAGGATGCGGTCAGGATTTACTAAAGACAAGCAGTAAAACATTATCGATAAAAAGGCGTGGACACGGTTATTTTTGCAGCTGACCTTATAGTATATGCATTTGTAGGAGTTTCCCTTTCAGTCGCAAAATGCACTATAAGACAGAGCACGATTATAACATTTACATTTAGTCATTTAGCAGATGCTTTTACCCGAAGCGACTTACAAATGAGGACAATAGAAGCAATCAAACCAAAAAAAGAGCAATAATATATAAATGCTGTGACAAGTCTCGGATAGTCTATATCTCCAAGCTCAGTCCCATTGGAGGTAAACTCTGCAGGACACCAGCCCTCCAGGACCGAGTTTGGAGACCCCTGGTCTAAAGCTAAGGTTTAGCTCTACATTTTTTTTCTATAATAAATAAAAAGAAAACAAGTATACAGAATAGAAACAGAATAGAGAGTGCTAATGTTAGAGGGTCAAGGTTTACATATACATTTATACAGCAGTTCGTTCTGGTTCTCAAATCTGATTGGTTGAGAACCGTGAGATATTGTACTGGTATTGCTACAGGAACACCCTTTCACCGTTTGTATCCCTCCGCTTCTCGTATTTCTCTCAGCGAGTGTCATGGACGGACGCCCAAATCCACTAAAATGTAAAAATGATACTGTTTTTGAGTGACGAATATGTGTAAGCGTGTGGTTATTCTTTGCAAAAGCCCTACTTTTAAATCGACACCTGCCATGGTGTTTCTAATTTGTCGTCTCTGATAAATTACATAGCATACCTGGTTAAAGATGTCACCGGTCTCCAGTGACAGGTATACTGGACTACCTTAATTGGTTCACACGACTCAAAGACAGCTAGTCTTGGCAGATGAAGAAAAAGTCACTGAATTACAAGTTTATTTTGCTTATGCACTCTTGTAATTAAAACAGTATGAACATGTTACAATAAGATTGATTCATTCTGCAGTTTTAATGCCTCATTAACAAATAGCTGCTTGATTTAGGCCTAGGTTATTTGTTTGTTTCACAGCACTTGATTACAGTGCCCATGTAACACACTGTGCATGTGACTATATTTAATGACTATAGTAATGTGCACAACATTCAATAATTTTTAAATGCAAGCTAATTAATTAATGATTTCATACTGATTATTACATGTTTTTTCTGTATTTGCAGTGTAGCCTGGAAACATGTAAACTGTGACCTGATACGATTTAGTTAACCAACATGCTAGAGTTTCATTTCTTTCATAATTACGGTGCAAAATGAATGCATGTATTCACACAGCTGTGATTTGCTCTCACCTCTTTCACAACGCTGTCAAAACTGGCACAGTCCACTTTAACCTCTGCCTGCACAGCGGGGACTTATTTACCCAAGTTCCTGGATGTAGTCAATGGTGTGGAGGAAGCACTGGTCCGGAACGAGGGAATACCTTGGAGGAGCGGCACAGAGAAAGGGCCCATTCAAAGATGGAATGACAAGTAGGTGAGTCTGTTTACATACACGCTGTTGACACAAGTATTCATTTGGCTCAGTAGGTTATTGCTGGGTATTTGGGAATAAATCTTAACCTTTCAGGGCTACTGGTGTCCTACAAAACAATGCCTATCTGTTTGGTTTAAAGCCACATATTTCAAAGTGATGGGTTTCCTAATGCCTCTTCACTGCTTCTTATGTTTTGTACTGTACCAAGTGTTTTGAAATAAGCACCGAAAACATTTTCCACCTAAAATTCGTCTTAGTATTTTAGTAAGTTCTATTTTTATTATTTATTCATTCATAGTATATAATAGCATAAAATATTTTATTAGTAGTATATAGAGAGGTCAATATAATGTTATGGGCCCACAATGAAAATGTCTCGGTTATGTATGGTAACTCTCGTTCCCTGATGGAGGGAACGGAGACGTGTGTCGGAACGACAGTATGGGGGTCGTCCTTGAGGGCCCTAATCACCTCTGAGAGTATCAGAAAAGGCCAATGAATTTGGCATGCAGAATTTGCATGCGAGACCATGTCTAAGGTCTAAAGTTCACCATACCTGGGGCGTCCACCAAGATTCTAGCGCTGACTTCTGGTTCCCGGCCATCGAGAAGATGAGAGCAACAAACACAGAGAAAGAATGAAACCCAGGGAAAGGGTTTCAAGGCTGCTCTTTTTTTTTCTTTTGAAAATTTTAAATTAACCCCCCAGGGGAGTGAGGCTCCCCTGCAAACCTGAGGCAAGTAGATGTGCAGCCTCTCCATCCCTGGGTTGCCCGTTTCAGGAGCTCTTTGAAGCCTTACGTGGGTTCCTAGTAGCCTGATGACGGGCGGGCAGGGCCACCTGTTTGAGAGGGGCTGGTGCAGCGCTCACAGAGGGCTTGCTGCCTCGGGGTTCTACCTCCCCTGGAAGCAGAGCCGCGCCAAGAAAGGATGTGTTTAATGGCCTCCATCTGCTTCCTTACTGCAGAGAACTGATGAGCAAAGTCCTCGACAGTATCACAGAAGAGGCAATTTTAGGAGATTGGTGCGTCAAGAAAGTGAACCTTCTCAGCATCCTTCATCTCCGCAAGGTGGACATCGCCCGACCCAGGGCCTGCGCCGTGTAACCTTCGTAGCTCTAAGAGCGTAGTCGGTTTGCTGAACGCAGTTCCTGAAGCAACTCTGGGTCAGGAATACCCTAGTCCAGATCTTTCAATGCTTTGGCCTGATGGACCTGCAGGATGGCCATAGCATGGAGGGCAGAGTCTGCTTGTCCAGCAGCATTGTAAGCCCTCGCCGTCAAAGACGAGGCAAACTTACATGGTTTGGATGGGAGATACAGACGATTCCACCAGGTGGCTGCGTTTTGCGGGCATAAATGCCTCGCAACTGCACGCTGCACAGACTGAATGTCCACGTACCCCTGTGCCTAAAAATACCAAATATTAAATAAAAACATTATCGAACTAAAATATAGTACATTGATTTCATTGAAAGGGCTTCATCTGATAAAACTAAACTCATGTTGGAAAACAAATCCATGGCTTTTTTCTACAACCATGACCATGTCAATAATATTCTTTAAGTCTTCTTGAATGTGATAATCAGGGGTGCATTTCCCAAAAGCAACTATGGTTGCAAGTTCCATCATTACCAATATAAGTCAAGTCAAGTCACCTTTATTTATATAGCGCTTTTAACAATACAGATTGTGACAAAGCAACTGAACAGCATTAATTAGGAAAATAGTGTCAATAATGCAAAATGACAATAGTAAACACTCATTTTTCAGTTAAAGACAGTTCATCATTGAATTCAGTGATGTCAACATCCAGCTCAGTTTAAATAATATCTTTGCAATCAATATAGTTCAATGAAACTTGCGACCATAGTTATCTAAGGCTAAGGGCAGCATGGCCCTACATTACAGGTCTGATATAACCTGAAGCAGTTCAGTTCAGTCTATGATAACGGCTTTCTTGGATTGCAGAGGTCATGTTGTTGTAGTCTATTCTCCATTCCAGGATGCAGGGAAACCTGAAACTACTGATAGTCTGTTATACCATGTCAGTCTGTTATTGTAGTGACACCCTATGATGTTGTTGAGTTCATCAATATGTGCAAGTAAGACCGGAAATACACAATTTGAGCAAAATTAAGCCTGAAAAATGTTGTCTCAACAGCTCACTCGGTTTTGGAACAGAGCTTTTATGTTTAAAACATTGTAATTGTAAATCCAAAAGCATGCAGACCTATAGAAATGTTACTGTTTGGAGACATTTTTGTGGCTCTACCACAAAACGCTTTTTTTTGCTGAGGTTTTACAGTCTTGGTGGACTTCAAATCTACATACATATCAATGCACTGGCTGATACTTATGTATATCTACTAACTCAATTTACTCATTACTTATTGAAAAATTAATATTGATGCATATATTGGATTAGACACCATTTATTGACAAGTGAGTGGTTGCTTGAGAAACAAATATTTCAGCTTCATCTGACATTTCTGGCAATAGTAAATGGGTTAGTTTAATCCAAAAATTATATATCTGTTATAATTTACTCATTCTCATGTTGTTTCAAACCTATAACACGTCCATTCATCTTCAGAACACAAATATAAGTGTAATATTCTCTCATAATTTTTGTCTATCCATTCAAAGTCCATGCGACCAAAACTTTCGCATATCAAAAACAAGAACATCATATTGCTCATCAAGCAAGCATGGCTGAGCTTCTGTGTTTATCATATTTGATGAGCTCTATGAATGTACATTTAACATTTTAACTTTTGCCTCAATAAACTCCTAATTTGCTGCTTATTAATAGTTAGTACGGTAGTTGTTAAGTTTAGGTATTGGGTAGGATTAGGGATGTAGAATATGGTCATGAAGAATATGAGCTTTATAAGTACTAATAAACAGCCATTATGTTAATGATAGGCATGCTAATAAGCAACTGGTTAATAGTGAGAATTGGTTCCTATACTAAAGTGTCACCTAGAACTGTACTTTCAGAAAATATATATCACACGTACATTTTTAAAAAGTACACTTTGTAATAATATCCAATTAATAATAATAGTGTAGATTTACAGTACTTTACATTTTAAACCGTTATGATTTAATAATAGTTTGTTGTTCTTTAAAAAAGTACATTTATTTGGATGTGTTGACTAACATACTAAAGCACAAAAACCTTATAAAGCATAACTTTAACTCTAGTGTGTACTTCGTAGTATTGTGTTATTTATTTGAATTAAATTTAAAGTTAATATTTAACATTTATATATTTTATATGTACAAAATTGTAACTTAATCATTGCAAATGTGATCAGTTACAAATATACAGTATTTGAATACAAGACATACAAGTTTTAAAAGAAATTACATTAAATATATTTTTGTTTACCATAAATTATTGTCAGTACATTTCACAACACAATTTAACCATATTTCAAACACAACAAAAGTAATTATGCAATTACATACAGTATAAAGATCAAGTCCTACATAAGTGGGTCAAAAAAGCACTCTTAATTTCAACTAACTGCATTTATTGTATATTTAAACTATAATACATTTTCATGTATTGCAATTAACATGCAATAAGTGTTTGAAAACATTACATTCAGTGCGCACTCAAGCACATTCTTTTAAAGTATATTATTTTTTCTTTCACAAGGGAAATTTTGACCGAATGTAAATTTTTTTTGTGAACTATCCCTTTAAATCACCATACCAGCCTTTGCAACTGCAACTATGTTTGTGTCGAATATCTCTGTTGAACATATGTTATCTACAATCTCATTTCAAACACAAGTTCTTTTTATTTCTTCAGTGTAAACAAGGTTTTTTTCCCCTATCATTTCCAATCCTGAATGATATTTTGGTCTTGTGGTACTTGTACTCGTAACAGCCTGGGGCTTGCCAGTGTCCCTCAGGCTTCTGGGAAGATGAAATAGTACGCTGTTTCAAGAGGAGCACACTGCTTCAGCCACAGGTTTAAATTAAGCATGGTGGAGCAGCGTCGGGAGGGGAGGCCTCAAAGCCCCTCCGGCCACATAGGAAAGAGAATAACTCATGTATGGCAGCATGAATGCGACGGCTGATACGCTAAATGTAAACAAGAGGAGAGATACGGTAAGTGAGGGGTCAAGTCATCGCACACATATCGCTTGAGCAGGGGGGGGGTTCACATTCTGCAGAGCTTATTTTGGTTTCGCTTTTCACTTTGGTTTCACACCATGAAGCACAAATCAAATATTAATGAGCAATGTGCGTCAGAAAAGAAGGCAGGTAAGTGTGTTTCCACTTTTGAGTGCCAAAAAGAGAAGAAGAAAAAAACTTGGTTTACCTTGATAATTTCTTAAAATGTTCCTACCATTATTAAACAAACAGGATCTCATTATTATTTTATTCTATTTATTATAATATTCTATTCAACAAAAAGCATAACATTTCTCATTCATGTTCTCGTGACCTCACAATGCCGGTTGGATTGATGTACTTTAGAAAGTTTGAGTGCCATGAAACAAGTCATCAGTTTTGTATGTGCATGTGTGTATATGTATGTGTTGTCGACAGCAGACATGGCACCATACAGAGCGAGCGTCACCTTAATGCCGGTGTTGTCCTTTAGTGATCTCTGTTTGCTAGCAAAGACACTTCATCAGTCCAGTCTAAGTCCCCTGCTCATGCTTTCTGTGGGCCTGCTGGAATTCCTGTTTTGCTTGGGCCAGCAAGTCCTTGTAGAATTGCAAACCTTCTTTCTTTTCCTTCAAGGCATTCTTCAGAGCAGTTCTCAAGGTTTCATTTTCTTCTAGTTGCAGTGCAAGCCTGTATGGACGAAAAATACATATCTATGCATTTAGTTACTGGGCAGTTTGCTTAAGGGAGCATCACTATTTCAGTTGCTCATATTATGTATAAGGGTTTTAACTTGGCACTTGGCTCATTCTGCTTATTCTGTCATGACAGCTCTCTGAGAGTTTAGCATGGTAATGGGCATGTGTACTGTATGTGACAGAGAGCTGTTCAGAGCTCTTTTAGTACTAAAATGAGGTAGCATGTAAATACTACATTTAGGAAGAAAAGACGTACCGTGCTTTGAGTTGACTATGTTGAGCATCACGGGTGACATCAGAGGGGCTTCTGGGAGATGAACCCTCCTGTTTGTCGGGGAGACTCAAAGTGCTGCCCGAGCTTCCTACATCAAGCCAAGAAAACCCAGCGGATTTCAGTTTGCTTTTGAGTCAGACATTCAATAACCTTGGGCTTTACGATACAATACTGGTTTCAGTGACACTCCTGTACCTCAGTGTAAACAAGGTTTTTTTCCCCTATCATTTCCAATCCTGAATGATATTTTGGTCTTGTGGTACTTGTACTCGTAACAGCCTGGGGCTTGCCAGTGTCCCTCAGGCTTCTGGGAAGATGAAATAGTACGCTGTTTCAAGAGGAGCACACTGCTTCAGCCACAGGTTTAAATTAAGCGTGGTGGAGCAGCGTCGGGAGGGGAGGCCTCAAAGCCCCTCCGGCCACATAGGAAAGAGAATAACTCATGTATGGCAGCATGAATGCGACGGCTGATACGCTAAATGTAAACAAGAGGAGAGATACGGTAAGTGAGGGGTCAAGTCATCGCACACATATCGCTTGAGCAGGGGGGGGGTTCACATTCTGCAGAGCTTATTTTGGTTTCGCTTTTCACTTTGGTTTCACACCATGAAGCACAAATCAAATATTAATGAGCAATGTGCGTCAGAAAAGAAGGCAGGTAAGTGTGTTTCCACTTTTGAGTGCCAAAAAGAGAAGAAGAAAAAAACTTGGTTTACCTTGATAATTTCTTAAAATGTTCCTACCATTATTAAACAAACAGGATCTCATTATTATTTTATTCTATTTATTATAATATTCTATTCAACAAAAAGCATAACATTTCTCATTCATGTTCTCGTGACCTCACAATGCCGGTTGGATTGATGTACTTTAGAAAGTTTGAGTGCCATGAAACAAGTCATCAGTTTTGTATGTGCATGTGTGTATATGTATGTGTTGTCGACAGCAGACATGGCACCATACAGAGCGAGCGTCACCTTAATGCCGGTGTTGTCCTTTAGTGATCTCTGTTTGCTAGCAAAGACACTTCATCAGTCCAGTCTAAGTCCCCTGCTCATGCTTTCTGTGGGCCTGCTGGAATTCCTGTTTTGCTTGGGCCAGCAAGTCCTTGTAGAATTGCAAACCTTCTTTCTTTTCCTTCAAGGCATTCTTCAGAGCAGTTCTCAAGGTTTCATTTTCTTCTAGTTGCAGTGCAAGCCTGTATGGACGAAAAATACATATCTATGCATTTAGTTACTGGGCAGTTTGCTTAAGGGAGCATCACTATTTCAGTTGCTCATATTATGTATAAGGGTTTTAACTTGGCACTTGGCTCATTCTGCTTATTCTGTCATGACAGCTCTCTGAGAGTTTAGCATGGTAATGGGCATGTGTACTGTATGTGACAGAGAGCTGTTCAGAGCTCTTTTAGTACTAAAATGAGGTAGCATGTAAATACTACATTTAGGAAGAAAAGACGTACCGTGCTTTGAGTTGACTATGTTGAGCATCACGGGTGACATCAGAGGGGCTTCTGGGAGATGAACCCTCCTGTTTGTCGGGGAGACTCAAAGTGCTGCCCGAGCTTCCTACATCAAGCCAAGAAAACCCAGCGGATTTCAGTTTGCTTTTGAGTCAGACATTCAATAACCTTGGGCTTTACGATACAATACTGGTTTCAGTGACACTCCTGTACCATGTGAAATATGATTGAAACTGAAAAAAGCAACATACTAGTTTCAGCCTACATGAGGCCATACAGAACCTGTTCTACTCCGATTAGATGTTTGCAGACTCGCTTCTTTCCTTGAGTCCAGTTTGGCTTTCTCCAGCTGCTGCTCCAGTGAGACTGAACGCTGCCATTCTAGTCTGAGTTTCTGCTCAGCTTCTGCACACTGGCGCTTTGCCTCTTCTTCACTGAAATTAAGATTATTTTAGGACATTAACTGTAACCATCCATGAAAGCAATTACATGCCACAAGCATCAACAAACACGACAAGGAAAAATCACAGTTTATTTGCTGTTGTTGACTGAGAATGTTAATACCTGGCAGAGTGTGACTCCCTGCTGTTCTCATGTCGTGATGTCAAAGGCCTGATGTTAGTTTGACTCTTACACTCGGACTGCTTCTGCACCAGATACACGAAACGTGTGTAAGCATGAAAAACAAAACACCGCTGATGATGTGATCAGACATGCCATACCATGTGGGCGAGTTGCTGGATCTCCCGCTCGAGCTCTTTGACCTTGTTCTCCTTCTCTGACACCATGGCTCTGAGCTGCTGGATGAGCGAGGCGTGCTGCTGGGCCTCGCTGTGCAGATGCCTCTCCAGGCCCTGCTGAGCCTCCTCACGCTGGGACCCTTTCTGGCTTAGATGCCCGAGCATGGCCTGCCACGAAGCCTGCTGCTTCTGTCGGAGGAGCGAGACAGAGGTCAACCCTGCTAAAATATTAAAGATCACCTGCCAAATCAATATTCAATATCATGTGCTTCTCCTTGGAGGAGGAAGTCAGAGATCATTCGTCGTTTGGAATTTTATATTCTTTCTGGTTTATACATACTGTTTGTCATTCCTGTTTGTTTATTATTATTTACAAGAATATCTACAGTATATTACTATTTACAATAATGTATGCTCGATGCATAATTGGTCTTTAAATAGCTTATATCTGAGCTTTTCAGTTCAGTGCTGACCATTAATATCTACAGTATGTCTTTATTACAGATCACTAGTGCTGCCCAAACCACGGGTGAGTAAAAACATTCAGAAATTAGTTGATACTTCATGATTGGCATATATTTTTCCAGTCCATGCATCTACTTTCCCTTCTGAAAAGACATATATATGTAAGTCACCAGTATACTACGGTATGTGTTTTGGATGCTGGTATCCCCACTAGAGTCCCATAATTTGTTTAAATGAAAACTTTGCGGTCCATCAGCTGATCAACACCAAAGCAGCACTAACAAAACTAAGCAAGGGTAACTGGCTCCTGAACTGTCTAGAGTTACCTTACACTGATAGTTTCACTAGTATACATTTAACCACATTCTTAAAAATAAAGGTCCTTTATTGTCATTGATGGTTCCATGTAGAACTTCTAACATCTATGGAAATTTTCTAATGGACAAAAGGTTCTTCATAGTGAAAAAAGCTTCATTCGATTTTTAAATGTTGAATGGTTCTTTTAAGAAATGTTGACTGAAAGGTTCTTTGGAGAATCCAAGAATAAAACCCTCTTTTGGAACCTGTGTTTTTATATGTCTATATATTCTGTTTTGGGTATCATAATTCAAGAATCTGTTACCAATAAGGCATCGACCAGCTCATCGTCGTGTTTGCCTTTATCCAGCAGAGTGCTGATCTGGCTCTTCAGGGCTTTGACTTCTGTGCTCAACACTTTGTTCCTGGCTTTGGAGGCCTCCAGTTTCTTCTTCATGTCTGAGTGCTCTTCAAGCAGAACTTCATAATCTATTGTGAGCTTCTGCAAAGACACATCATTATCAAAATGTGAAATATTATGTCATACTCAGGCCCATAAAGATGCTGAATCGATGTGCACAACCTCCAGTGTCTCCTTCCTCTCCCTCTCTATGTGACGGATGTGGCTGAGGTTTCTGTCTTGTGTCTTCTGTAGGCCTCCCGTTCTCGTGATCTCCTCCTCCAGGCCTAAGTCACATAGCTGCTTCCTGTGAGAGGACTGGCTCAGCTGTCGTTCCAGGTCTCGCACCTTCAGTGTATAAAATGTTTAACAGTATCAAGTGACCTATGAATACTAAGAATACAACAGAGCTAATTACAATAATGGCTGAAATCATGGAAGGCTGTTTCTGCCAGTTCTCAGAACTGCAAGAAAAACTCAGAATTCTGACTTTTTCACAATTCAGAGTTTATATCTCACAGTTTTGACTTTAGATCTCACAATTAAGACTTTCCCCCACTGCCCAGAATTGCAAGGAAAAAAGACAGAATTATGAGAAAACTCAAAATTGCAAAAAAAAAAAAGTCAGAATTGTGAGATAAAAAGTCACAATTATCTTTTTAAATATGTTTATCCCATAGCACAAACAAGCTCTCATATGGAATGGTTGTTTCAAGATCATTTTAATTCCAACCAGTGAGTTTGTGGTTAGTGGATACTGATATTTTTAGATACTTTTGCAGAGATTCCATTTTGTATTAAAAATGTTAGGATAAATATACAAGAATTATAATTATTATAAAAAGCATGTCTTTCTTTGTTTCGGAATTGTGCAATATAAATTCATAATTGCATGCAAAATGTCAGAATTGTGAGATAAAAGTCGCTTACTTTTATTTTTTATTCTGTGGTAGGCGAAAAATGCACACACACAGTTGTTTGTGTTTATATGCACAATTCTGTGTTTTTATCTCATAATTCTGACTTTTTTCTCAGAATTGCATGAAACAAAGTCTGAATTATGAAATATAAGTATAAAAGTATAAAGATAGTTGTGAGAAATTTGTGATATGTGATCCTGCAGCACAAAAGCAGTGTTAAGTCGCTGGGGGATATTTGTAGCAATAGCCAACAATACATTGTATGGGTCAAAATTATACATTTTTATTTTATGTCAAAAATCATTAGGATATTAAGTAAAGATCATGTTCCATGAAGATATTTTGTAAATTCCCTACTGTAAATATATCAAAAATGTATTATCAGTAGTAATATGCATTGCTAAAAACTTAATTTGAACAACTTTAAAGATGATTTTCTCAATATTTAGATTTTTTTGCACCCTCAGATTCCAGATTTTCAAATAGTTGTATCTCGGCCAAATATTGTCCTATTTTGTCCTTAATATGTCCTATATTGTCCTAACAAACCATACATCAATGGAAAGCGTATTTATTCAGCTTTCAGATGATGTATAAATCTCAATTTAAAAAAATCGACCCTTATGACCCTTATTTTGTGCTCCAGGGTCACATATATAAACTCAGAATTGTGACTTTTTTTTCTCGCAGTTTGAGTTTACATCTATCAAATTTGAGTTTCTCGCAATATCTCGCAATTTAGACTTTTTTAGAATTCTGAGAATAAAATACAGAATTGTGAGACATAACCTCGGAATTGAAAGGGGGGGAAAAAGTCTATTTTGAAGGACAAATGTTAGAATAAATCCAAAATAATTTTTCTTATGAAACAGCACTTCTGCTTTGCTCAAGAAAATGTCCAAGAGAGAATAGTCTTTCTCAAGGCATGAAAGCTGATTAACATGTATGAGTTTATAATCAATATCTAAAACAAATCAGTCAAATAAAAGTCGACGTGCAGGTTCAGGGCATGTTGCCTCACTCTGTTCTGAAGGGCGAGGATCTGCTGAGAACGGCCTCTCCAGCCTCCCGGGTTACACAGTATCTGCTGAATATTGACATCCTCGCCCACCTCACAGCTCAACACCTGACAAAACAGTTTGACTAAATCATCACATCATTAAAAATTATGTTTACTCAAACCAATGCATATAAATGACAGGATTTATTGTGAACAGACCTTGTGAGCTATTTTGAACTCTTGTTTAAACGTCTGGATCTGGTTGCGGTATTCAGTCATTTTGAGTTGGGCTGTAGATAGTTTCTCCTGTAGGGATTTTACGACTGGGCCGTTCTACACAAAAACACATCAAACACAAGGTCATTTAAAAACAGTTACAAATGTCTAATCATGTACCAAACGATGATGAACATGTTATAAAACAATATTACTTCAAGATGGTCGTTCACAGTCCTTGAATCCTGCATTTTGTCTGTCTTCTTTCCAGGATTAAGTATCAATGTGGCCTGAAGCTAATAAAACAGCAAAAAATACTGATGAAATGATGAAATACCACACTGAGAAGGAGCTGACAAAAGCAACTTTCAATGCAATGCTCCAAAAAAAAAAAACATTTGAAATAAAAATTCTGTTTGATCTTTACCTCTTTCTCCAGATCTTTGACTCGATTGTTTGCTTGTTTAGTTTTGGTCTTCCCTCGTTCTATTTCAGCGGCTAATTCTCGATTCTTCTTTGACAGCTCCACAATTTTGGTTGCAGCTGCATCACCTGCCAGACCAGCAGTACCTTGGCAAAGAAAACACAGAAATGGACTGTCGCATGCATTATGTACCAGACAGATATTGTGGCTCCAAAAAGTATTTGGACACATAGGCCCAATCCCAATTCTACCCCTTAGCCCTTTGCCTTTCCATGTCCCCACCAAAAAAGAATTGAGACACCCCTACCCCTTCAAGTGAACGCGTGAAATGGAGGGGTAGGGGTGTCTCAGTTCTCTTTTGGTTGGAGGGGTAGAGGTAGGGGAAAGGCCAAGACAGCCCTTCAAACGAAGATTTTTCGGGACCACACTTCAAACGCTTCAGCGGCAATTAGACCCAATCCCAATTCTACCCCTTAGCCCTTCGCCTTTCCATGTCCCCAACAAAAAAGAATTGAGACACCCCTACCCCTCCGTTTCGCGCGTTCACGTGAAGGGGTAGGGGTGTCTCAGTTCTCTTTTGGTTGGAGGGGTAGAGGTAGGGGAAAGGCCAAGACAGCCCTTCAAACGAAGATTTTTCGGGACCACACTTCAAACGCTTCAGCGGCAACATGGCTGCCCGAGTGAACAAAAAGACACATAAAAGTAAGCATTTTTGGCATTAATAAAAATCTTAACGAAAAGTAATCATTTGTTTTATGTTACATTCAATCGTGAGTTCATATTTACGGTCATGTTACTCAAAGAAACGTTTGGAAAAAATCACTAATATTTGCTAACTAACGTCATAACATTACAGACTGCCACAACATATGTTCATGTCTGATCAGGGCGATAACCACCGCAGACATTGAGGGGGGCTAGTCCCCCCAATAATTAGAAATCGCTAAACCCTTTTCTCAAATATTGCCAATTCGAGAGAGAGAGAGATGAAAGTTGCGTGCATGCACGTCTGTGCGTTTCTCTTTTTAGAGTGAGTTTACTTAAAAAACAGTGATTTTATCCTCTCGTTGCTGGAAAATATAATGTAGCGATTCAGTATTTAAACTGTTATTAATAAAAGTCGTGGGGCAGCGTTGACAAGTTTCTTTTCTCCTGGATGTGTGAGCTGCGTGATCTCCTATATATACTGTATATATATGTGTGTGTGTGCGTGTAAGCAGCGCATTAATATAGAACGGTAATTAAAGGCTCTAATGCACACCAGCACACCAGTACAGGTGTGTGTATTGTAGGAGCTAGACGACGTATGATGACGTGTGACGTATAGTAGTGGTGTCCCAATTCTTAGGGGAATATTTTCACCCCTACCCCTTGACACTGTTTCAAGGGACAAGGAGAAGGGGTATAAAATAGAATTGGGATTGGGCTTTAATGTATGAATGATATTGCATTAGCTTTACATTTTTCAAAAAAAACATACACTAATGTTCAAAATGGTCAGTAAGATTTTTTTTTGTTTGTTTTGCTTTTTTGAAAGAAATTAAGATTTTTGTTCAGCAAGGATGCATTAAATTGATCAAAATTGGCCGTAAATACATTTATAATGTTCCAACAGATTTCAATTTCAAATAAATGCTGTTCTTTTCAACTTTATGATCATCATAATAAATATCATAATAAATGTTATCACCGTTTCCACATCACCGGCAGCACAACTGTTTTCAACGTTGATAAAATACCGCACATCAAATCCTCATATTAGAATGATTATGACAGAAAATTCAGCTTTGGAATCCATCACAGAAATAAATTATATTTTAAAATATATGAAAAATATACTTTTTATCAAATAATTGCAGCCTTAGTGAGATTTGACTTTTTTCAAAAACATCCAAAAAAAAAAAGTAGTAATATACTTTGACTTCATGCAGCCACTAACCAAAAAGGAAAAAGACCAAAGTCTTGCAAAATCTAGTTCGCTAGTTGTCTTCTCCAATGTCCATTTTATTTTTTCCTGTCCATCCAGCAAGATTTTAAGAGATTTTGGTTCAAAGGACAACGTAGGCTGATTACTTCGCTTGTTGTATTCTCTACTGTCTTAATTTATTGTTATTTCATTTTGTCTTTCACTTTCTTCCTGTCCATCCAGCAAGATTTTGCGTCACTTCCGGCCGTAGCTGTATCCCTTCTAACCACAACCCTATCCAGTTGGTTAGTAGCCTTTGCAAAAATGGCTCAGAAAATGTAATGAGAATAGCTTTACTATCTTTTTTTTTCAGATGCCACATGCAGTGTAATGCATACTTAAGTGTGATCTAAGAGTCTTATACATTCATTGTTAGCATATAAAGCTCACAACAGTAGAAATGACACACTGTTTACCTGCTAAAGCCAATCTTTCCTCCTCTCTCTTCTTCTTCAAGTGTTTTATCTCAAAGTCCTTCTCACTCAGCAGTTTATAGAGTCTGCCGTTCTCATCTCTCAGTTCCCTCAGATGATCATGCAACTGTTCGTTTTCATTCTGCATCACTCTGAATTAGAGTACAATTACCATTTTAATAATGCACACTGCATATGGAATAAACACATGGTAGATGTGTGTGAGTGTGTGTGTGTGTGTGTGTGTGTGTGTGTGTCCAAACATGCTTCAAAGAAACATTCATACATCCAGGACAGGTAAAGAGAGCACGTTACACCTGCTGCAGGATTGTTTTTATATCATTTCATTTTTAGTATCATGTTTTTTTTCTGTGTTAATGTTTATCAATCCTAACCTATAAACCACTGTGACATGCGCACAAATAAAATATTTATTAATATTATTTTTACTACTACTCCTACTGCTTACTATCAGCTTCCACGAAGCATATATGTATAATATTAGAGCACTACCGATTATTTTAGACTAATTAACGTTTAACCTTTATCATACAAACTATTCAAAATCTAACGTTACTGTCCGGAGATGATTCTCAAGCGGTCAGTTTATTAAACCTGAACAAAAACTTACCGGACGAATTCAGAAAGATTCCAGTCAACTTAGTTGAGCATTGACATTAGAATTGACATGGTTATGGTTATAAAGTATAAAAAATAGAGCTAAGAGAATATAGTCCGTGATTGAATGCATGTTAAAGCTTCCCGTCCATTTGTAAACACGACCGTCTCCGTGGAAACGCGTTACCACGCTCTCAGAAAAAAAAAAGGTACAAAAGATGTCACTGGGGCGATACGTTTTCAAAAGATATTACTATATGTATCATTTAGGTTCTAATATGTACACTTGAGGTACTAATATGTACCTTTAAGATACTAAGATGCACGCTTTAGGGGTAAATAAGGTACAAAGGTGTACCTTTTGTAAGGGAACCGTCCCAGTGACAGCTTTTGTACCTTTTTGCTGAGAGCAGCAGGAAGTGCACGCAGAGACGCGTCATGTTGTATTAGCAGTAAAATAAATAAGTCACTTGATTATTATTTTTATTTATTTTTACCTGTATTGTTATTTATATAATACTGTATATTTATATTTTGTAGTTTATATTTGTTCAGTACCTTTATATTATATGTTGGAAATCAATAAAAAATAATAATACTAATAAGTCACTTGTTAGGAATAATTCATAACAGCAGGAATGTAACGCAGACATTTGTACATTAGTGAGAGCTTAATACATGTCTATATACAAATATAAGATATTAGACAGAATTTACACGTTTTGTTTCATAGAAAGTCGTCTTAGCTTTTTGAATGGATATAAATCTTTTATCTTTTAAATCTCTTTTTTTTTTTTTTTTTGCAAGAAATTGTACATTTGTGAATATGAAATCTCAAATACGAATATGATTACATTGTTAGGACCCCGTCACAACCCAAACTGGAACAGATTATTTACAAGAACTACAACTTCAGGGCTGGGAAAAGGCCAAAACAACAAAACTAGCTCACTAAATTGTTCATCCTTATCAGAGAGAGAGAGAGAGATAACATATATCATCTCAGGATATAACAACAACGACTGATATTGTCAAACCTGGGCTGCGTTCAGCCCTGACAAAACGGTGCAAAACGTGTTTTTTATACAGAAACGGTGGTGCGTTCAACACTGTTCTGATGATGCAAGAGTTGCAGCTACGGCAGCTGAGAAGGCCATTCTTTCTGTTCTTTTTGAAGAATTTTCGGAGCCTGATGAAACGGTATAAATGCGTGTTTAATACTGCAAAATACGCTGGATGTTAAAATCAATTCCCTTGCCCCCCAG